AGATCAAATGGTCAAGGTATTTCAACATTTGATATAGAATTATTTTATATATTTAATGTGAATTGGTATATTGAATGATTGCCCATAAATTCATTTAATACCAATCAAGATTGATCTAATCCTGTATTCCACTCTGCAGCTGGAGCTAGCTTTCAAAAAGGAGTTTGGAAATACTTCAAACAACGAGGTTTTTTACTTATAATTTTTACCTGTTGTTTGTCTGAAACTGGTGCTTATAAAGAAGTTAGTTATCACGTGAGTTTGAGAAATGATACAACGGGTATAGGGTTTTAAGGAATTATGATTAATCTGATTTCTATACATGCGTTAAAGCTATAGGATGTGTCCTTCAGTGATTGAGGGAGGAAAGTAATACCCAGAAACTACTCCCTCTGTTCCAATTTTCATGTATTATAAGGTTGTTTTGTACAAATCAAGAAAGAGCTTTGTTTAATAAGGAAATTTCAAATTATACCCATACCTCTCATTGGCTCATTCACCCATTTATTCTCTTCATAAATGGAAGTGCAAATATTGGTAAGGTTAGAGTGCGATTGGCAAAAAGTAATTAATACAACCTTAAACTAGGAAACGAAACATCTGAACTTTTTTTCTTAAAAATCGACATTTAAGAAGAAACAAATGCAGTATTAGTATTATAGTTTATTATTAGGATTAGAATTAGCAAATCATTTCAATTAGCATTTATTGTGATTTTTTTCTACATTACTAAACACAGGCTATTTCCTACATGCTACAAATCAAAGTATTGAGTATTCACACGAAGTGGGTTTTTTCAAGTGTTGAAGCAAACTTGTTATTTGCGGACTTAAATTGGTCGATTTTCTGTTAGCCGCTATCATTAAATTGATTCATTAATATGTAATATTGCTCTATTCTGGCAGAATATAGGTTTCAAAATATTCCAACATATTCTCGTGTGGTTGGAAGAGCAAACTTATTGGATAGCTTTTCGATTTCTCACTGTGGGATTTGAATTGGAACTTTATGCTGACCATGATTACTGCATGGTCTACTGGTATATTTACATCGTGTTGATCAATCTTGCAGAGAAGAAGCATCTCCGGATAGCAATGAGCAGTGGCGCTGGTATGTATTACGGTATTTTATCATGATTTTTTTAATTAAGCGAAGGGTTGGTGTGTGAGGAAATTCTCTGCTTTATGTTTTACCTACAAATTAATGACTTTCAGAGTAATATTATTATGTACTATTGTAATTGTGTTCTTTGCTGTATGACTTTGAAGAGAAAAAAATAGTTTATGGTGTTACTGACTTCAATATGTATATGCTACTTGTTGGTAAGGTAAAAAGAAGACGAAGAAAAAAAGAGATTCTTTAAAAGACGGGGGAATGAATTATCAGATCTCAGATGCTGTTAAGTTTCTTCAGAGCCAAATATATCTAGCTGAAGGTTTAGGCATGGTAATACTGCATATGTTTCCTCAATGATGTTGACTTAACAATTTCTTCTAGGAATTGTGATTTAATACATCAGTGGCTTGGAATTTGTTGTTGAATGTGTTTGTTTTAGAGGTAGAGTTTAGTAGTCTGTAGGTGAAAACTGAACCCTATTTTGGAGGATTTAAAAAAAAAAATAACTGCCACCCCCAACAATGCCTGCTATTACTTTTATGCCCTTACAAAAAAATTTTGAAATTTATTTTCACGTTTATTGGAAATTTCAAAAAAAATACCGGAATTTTCGAAATCGAAAAATTCAGTAGTTCATATTTGTCAAAAAAATTTTTTTTTACACTACCGGGAATTTTGAAATTTCGGTAGTGTTAAATTAAAAAAAAAAATTTCATACCGGCAATTTAAAAATGAACTACTGGAAATTTTGCCATTATGAAAATATTAGGGGGGTGCCAGATTCAATTTTTGGGGTGGCAGGTTAAATCCTCCCTATTTTGCCATATTGATAAGCCTTTGTCTTTTACTTTAAGTTAACATGACCACATCGACTTTGTGTATATCATAATTTGCTTTAAACTAAATATTTTTCATGCTTTGTTATTTGGATTCAATTTAGTGGACTTACATTCTGCAACAATTCAATTATTTTTCTAGATGCTGGCTGCTTTGAGGAATGAGTGCAAAATTGTCCCACCGCAAAGCCCTTTCAGTACAGAACACGAGGTAAAATTTTCGGTTTTGCTGCACACAGATTTCAAATGTATTAAAATCTTCATTCCAGCGTTGCAAATGGTGTTCGATAAAAACATAAATTCAGCGCTGGATTTCTAGTGTTGGAATATTCAGTGAAAGTTTTAGGGTCTGAAAAGTTTCTAATACATTCGGTAATCTATCAGATATGAACCCGTTCAGTAACCTATCTGATTTGATTGTTTTGATCAGGTTTTACTGTTTTTGTTTTTTCATAATGTATTAATCAAACCTCGCTAAAGATAGTTAAATGGTGAATCTTTCCATTATCGGCTCTGTATTTAGTTTTCATATGGGTCATGAAGACACTTGTAATCTTTGTTACATTTACAGAAAACTAAATAAGATGTATTAAATACAAGATTTGCCTGAAGTTAAGAAGAAACCTCCAATTAATAATCTAAATTGCATTTAATGGTTTTTCTATGATATCACCTTTTAGTTATTCAAGCGCTTGAAAGATCCAGAGATATCAAATAAAATGTATTTTTCGTAGTACTAACAATACCATGTATATCTAGGTCAAATTAAATTTGTGTATGGTTTACCTTCAACCTCAACAAAACAGTTGGCACTACGAAAAAGTACTTTTGTTTTGAATTTCACTAGTAGATATTTTTTTCCAGATATTTATCCAGCAATTTGATCTTTTACTGAAAGCTTGCCTTCCTGAAAGCATCTCATATCAGACATACAAGGAATCAACAGCCCAGGCTAACTTTTCTGTGAGTATTCTTTTGGAAACTATTGTGTCTTGTTTTTGTTTCGAGACAGACATTTATTGGTTCATTTCTCCTTCAGACCCTAGCTATGTGTGATTACTTCAAGGTAGCACATAAGATGGCAAAAGAGCTAAAAGGTAATTTTGCCAACGATCCTGACACGATGGCTGAGCTGGGGAGGATAGAGCAAGTAGCAGAACGCAACAACATTGCCTTGACAGTAATATCCCGGCTAGGATCAGCCGATCCATCGATGAAGATTTCTTTTACGTTATGCCATCATCCTTTCTTCGCAACTGCTATTGTGAAGAGATCTTGATGGTAGACTCAACCAATTTTGAAACAATTATAGGGTGTGTTAGGAGCGAATGACTTATTTGGCATTTGCATTTGTACCACTAGTATTCTTTTCAAACAAATTTTGTGGATCATAAATAATAGATTGATATTTTCTCTCATTCCTTCTCTTCATAACCTTTCCATCCAAACAGAGAGTTAGTGCTCAAGTTGAGATGTTAAAACCTGTCAGCTGAAATCTGACATAATGATGAAGAGACTCGCACAAGTCACAACATGGGTCCGCAAAGCATGGTCAGGGTCAATGGATCATTATTTGAAAATTTGCCTGGCTTCTTTTAGTCAACGCTTCTTTTTAGCCACCACAATTGAACATTGAAACTTCTTTTATGGTTAAGATGGACTTCAATCCTCTACAACATAAGATAAGCTATCAAAGTGCTTTAAATTTATCATGCACAAAACATGTTTGATGAATTAGTAGGATATAATAAAATTGTTTTTACTAATATGATTTATTTTGTCTATTTTATAATGTTTGTCAGATTTGATTTTTTTATAGATTTAAAGCTGGTGATAAATAAAATAAGAATAATATATTTTTATTTGTTTTAATTTTTTTTGTCAAGTAGTCTAGTGAGTTGAGAATTCACTTAAAAAAAAAAATGAATGTGAGATTTCACGGGTTTGAACCCACATGATTTGACAAAATTGAGTTTAATAGAATTGATTTTATTTATGTTTGAATATGTTTATGTAAAAGTGAATAGAACAATAAATTTCGATGTAAAAATCACGTTTAAATTTAGAAACTATAAAATTATAAATTCTAACTTCAAATAGAATTAATTTTATTTCAGAATAATCAAACACTTCAAAATTATTTTAGAATTAATTCTATATTTTTTAAATTATTTTTGACCTTTGCAAAAAGTCAATTCAAACAAGTTATATATCTATCAAGTGAATGAGTTTAACTATGAATTGAGTTGTTACTATCAATTGAGTCGGATTAACCGAACAATTATTAGTATAGTCTATTATTGTAAATATAAAATAAAAATAATAATTTAAAAGTACTTAAATTATTATTTTTAAGATAAATTTATCATTAGTTATAATTCTTTAAAAAGACATTTTCAATATTTAGGACTTTTAATAACACGGTATTTAGTATCTTTATACAATTTTTTCTAACTTTTTTTATAAAAAAAAAAAAACTGTTAAAATAAATTTAAAGAGGAAAAATATGGGGAAATAGTTCTATTTCCATAGATGATAAGATATTCAATTTTTATTAAAGAATTAAGTTCTATAAAAAAGTTAAAGAAATTTTTTCATAAATATTCAATTTTTATGAAAATTAAAAATACTTAAATTATTTTTTTAAACAAAAAATTGTATCCGATAAAAACACGGTATAGTAAAAATTATTTTAGATTATGGAACAGACGCCTATTTTATAATTTTTTCAAAGAGCGTGTGAAAATGATTTATAATGGATATTCACATCAAAGATAAAAACTCTTTATTGAATAATTATTATTATTCAATACAATTTAAAAACAAGAGAGAGATTAGTATATATACAGAGGATAAAGTTAGGGAAAAGGAAAAATAGTAAACGGTACAGGTCATAAAGAAAAATAAATAAAAACAATCTATAATATAAGAAAATCGACTCCTTTCTTCCAAAAGTCGACATCTGGCTTCACGAGGGCTTAGCAAAATAATTTGTTCCAAAAGATGATTATTCTTTTCGTTCTCCATTCCAATTCTCTACAAAAACCGATGTTTCAATTCTTTTTCTCTTCTCACCTTTCTACTACCAGTGTCTCCATGTTCTACAGTGGTTACAATCATGGTTTGTGGGAACATTTCAGTCTTCTCAAAACGGGTTTTGTTTCAACTGTTCCCCTCTCAATCATGTTTGTAATATTTATAGCCCTCCATACTCGCTACTTCTGCCCCATCTTCGTCACCCAGAATACTCAAACATCAAGTTTTTCTACTCCACATTCCCGACGCTATTTCATGGCCAGAACTGTGGTGAAAATCCGTGACATCAATGATAGCAAACAGCTGCAGAAGGTGTATGTGCGAGTGCATCATAAATAGAAGGTTATCTCTAACAACAGAGAGCATTTTGAAATGATCTTTGTGGATAAAGCAATAATTTTACTTTTCTATGCAGTTGTGCATCAGATGTTGGTAATTGTATTTTTTTGTACATCACTGGATGGTGATATACATGTGGTTGTCCCAGCATCACATGTGTCTCTGTTCGATGAAAAATTGACATTGGATCATATTTACACGGTATCCAACTTTAAGGTTCAAACTAATGTATTGACTTTTAGACCTTCGTCGCACAAATTTTTGATCACGTTTACGGGAGGAACGTCTGCTGGAGATGATAACAAAAATAAAATACCATCCAAACCGCTGGTGTTTATAAAGTTTTCTGATATAATCACCGACAACTTTAACAATGATGTGCTCATAGGTGAAATAATTGTGTAGCGTGTTTTGTTTTGCGACATTTGTATTTGATATGTTGTTTTGCTCTTATGTCAATTCCCTGTTTTTCATTTTTTCAGACATAATTGGTATGGTTGAGAGTATTGGATATTGTGATCGGTGGATCTGGAACTGACTGTTTAACGCTGGTTCGCGAAATGTCGCGGAAGCAAGAGTCGCCACCGTCTTTTATTTTCTCCAAATGGAAAGGACAAAAGCACAGAAAAATTCCTTAAAGAGATTGCTCTCGGTTCGGGAGGTAGGTTATAGAAAGGGAAGGTGTTAGCACCCTTTCTATCCATGGTTATCCATGGGCTCTTAGATACTTGCTCATTGTGTTTTCAAAAATGGTTTGTTTGCTTTTCAACTGTGGGTTTTAAAAAGTTTTTTTGAAAGTTTCAGATCGACTCTTGTGTCAGAGTGTTTGAAAAATTGCTTTGAAAGCTTTTGAAAAGTGTCGGTGTGAAAAGATTTTTGTTTGTTTTTGAAGAGAGCAAGTATCTACGAGAACCTACCTACTCTAAGGAATTCGTCTGTGTAAATGCCCTTTAAAGTAGTGCCATCCCACCATTGAGAGGTAGGTAGCACCACCGTTGGAGGTGTTCGGGTCAATTCGAGGTTCGGGACATGGTGATCACCAGAGCAATGGGAAGACACCTTAGAAGCTACCCTCATGCCAGGTTCCCGGATCATGAGGACTTACTAAGACGTCTTCTACTCGACGATCACCTTTCGAAAGGCAACAGTGAGGCGTACCCTAAGGGTGGTGTGTGCGGTCCGTGTGTCATGTTTCAATTATTTTGTCTTGTCATGTTTGTTGTGATCTACGCTTGATTTTAGTTTTAGGGCCATTCATTCTTGCATGCATTTAACAGTTATAAAGTTTGCGAAAAAATAAATCTAAACTATTACAAATAGCGCGGGTCCACATCGCCAAAATAAACCGAACCCGATTTGACTGAAAGTAAAAGAGCAATAAAATAAAAGTGCGAGAAATAAAGCAAAAATTATTACAAGGCTTTGGGGCATATACATAATTATTTAAACGATATAAAATAAATGTGCGAAATAAAGAAATTAAAAGAAACAAAACTGGGGCGTTGGACCCTTTTGCAAAAGTATTTAAAGTTAATGAATTAATTAATTAGAACTAATGAAGAATTAAAATTAAAGAAAAAGGAATGTTTTTTTTGATATTTTTGTATTTTTTAAGATTTAAAAGAAAAAGAAAAAGAAGGAATTAATTATTATTGACTAACCCTAATTCTATTGTTTTTTCAAGTTTATTGTAAAAATGTTATATTAATCTAAATTAAACCCTAATTTATTTATGTGCAAGTTTGATTATAAAAAATAAATAAATAAACAATATTGTGATAAAAAAGAAAATTAAAAAGGTATCAAAATTATTAATTAACCTAATTCTATATTTTTGGATTTTATTAAAAAGGATTAAATTTGTAACCTAATTAAAACTAAATAATTACAAGCTTTTATTCATGAAAATAATTATAATATAAATATTTATTATTTTTTGGTCTTTTCTGATTTTTGAATGTTTTTTTTTTATTTTGTAGAAAAATAAACTAATTATGTTAAAACAAATAAAATAAATAAAATAGCAAAATCAAATAAGAAGAAAAATAGAAAAAAAAATGCAAACCAGGGGGGGGGGGGGGGGGGTAGCCCCAAATTGGAGGTTCAGGCCTGGAGTTTTTGGCCCATTAAGCCTTGAATTTGTTGACCTTTCTGGATCATGCGTGGCATGTTGACTTACATCCATGGTATGCTTTCAATCTGAACCCTTGATTAGATCTCCTGGGACGCGTGGGCAATGCATTTTGAGTGTGCATGATGAGTCTTAAGATAGTGCCTGCATATAATTATTAATGAAAAAATAATAGCGAAATTACTTAGACCTGGGGTTCGAACCCAGGTCTTGGACCATGCAAAGGTAAACGCCTGCCACTGAAGCATTTGAGTTATTGTTAATATATAATAAACGGTGAATATTATAAGAAGAAAACGTTAATGCCCTTGGAATTTCGCGTGAAATTTGAATGGACCTATCAATCCCTGCCACGATGTCATCGTTCTCCCTGTTCCTGAAACACTAAACGCATAGGCAACGGTTTCTGAGCGTGGCTTAAAGCTAGCTTCCAAAAAATAGCGATTAGGTCCCTAACGCTCATAAATTGAGCGCGAGGGTTCCATTGCTTTCGTCCTCAAGCGTTGAATCCATTAGTGGTTATCTGGAGCTCTGATTTTTCTTATTTGCAAAAGCCCTAAATTAAGCTCTACAAAACCCTAGAATATGAAAATGGTAGAATCACGTATGGCCACTGAAAACTCAATTGAACACATCAGTTAGCTTGCAAACTTCACATTAAACAAGAATTCACAAATAAAAAGTGCAAAGGATGCTTAAAAAATGATGCACGATTTCAACAATTTTTCTTTACAGTTTGAGTTGTAGCCACCACCTCTTTGCGTTTTGATTGATGTTAGGTATTGGCACACGTTCAGAGTTTGTCCAGGATGCTATTAGAAAAAGAATTAAGGCTTAAAACTCACCCACACCTTGATTTCAGAATTGTGCTTTTATGGAAAATTTTCAAATGTTCAATAGGCTTTTCAGCGCAGCATATGGTGTGTTATGGTTAGGGTTTGACTTGGTATCTATGAGGGAAGAGAATTGGCTTCCTAGCTGACCTAGATTCATGCTTATGAAAGAACTAATCCTAGGGTTTTTCCATTAACAAATTTTTCCTTCTTTTAAGCCAAGACCTAGACTTAGTGTGCAATTTAACCCTAGCCTGAGTTTTTGAGTTGGCCCATGATATATGGAAGTTGTCCAAATTCACATGACACTATTCCATTGGTTTTTGAATTTTATTTGAATTTTCAAAGATTTAAAATGAATTAAATTATCAAAAATTAAATAAAATAGAAAAATCAATATTTGGTCTTGAAATTAATCATGGGACACGTGTGTGGCATGACAAGGATGAATCAAGTGGAAGAAAGTGGGCCCTTTTGTCAAAAATTGGAGTTTCAAGGATAGTTGACTTTTGCCATTTCACAAAAATTTCCCAACTTCTACAAGGCATAACTTGCTCAATTTTTAAGCTTTTCACATGTTCTTGGACATTTTGGAAAGGTCTTTGAGTCCTTTAACCAATGCCTTTGGTCCCATGTCATGTTGATTTACCAATATCAAGTTATGGCCTTTGACTTAAAGTCCCTTTTTGTTGACTTTTGAAAATGACCTATAATGTTGAAATTGATAACTTTTTGTGAGAGCATTTCTTGGACTTGAAGTATGAAGATGAGTTGTAGGAAATGTCTTTCTCTTCAAATTGAGCTTTGGATGGAATTTTTCTGATAATCCATGTGAAAGTTATGCCCTGGTCAATTTCAGTTGACTTTTTCAGCTGTCCAAATATAGCAACTTTTGCATCTTTGATGATTTCTGAGCCAAATTTTGAGAATCATGATCAAGCATTGATCAAATGATGTTTGTGGCTTCAAAATGATATGTTGACCAAAAATTTGAACTTTTGACTGTCAAATGACCATTTTGCCCCTACAGTTGACTGTAGTGTAATTTAGGGTTTTGACTGTGCAATTTTGAGCTGAATGCCTTGAAACTTGATATGAGAATGCTTGACCATGTTTGTAAGCATATGAGACTTGATTGAGCCTTTGAAAACTTCATTTTCTTGATCAGACTCAAAACCCTAATTTTGACTGCATGGGAGACTGTTGCACTGCACAACCCTTGGGGAATTTTCTAGCTTGGCTTGGCAATTTCTTGAGGAATATGGGAGGGCAAATTTTGGGGTATAACAGATATTCTTAGACGCATTCGGGTACCAAAAAACACCAACTTAATATGGTATTGAGGGACCACATGTTTGGATATCTACTACCAACGTCGCTCTTATTTGATGGATGATTTGAATGTATGTTCCCTTCATGTTTTAAACCCGAGTGAATGTATTGTTTATGTAGCAACAACACAATGAATTGTACCCTTTGGGAATCATATGCTGACCAATTCATGAAGTTCAACTAGGAACGAGGGAATATTTCGGGTTTGACTGTTGTTATGCTTCAATATGCAAAAGTCAAGGAACAAGGTTATTTGGTTTATTTTGTTATTAGCTAATAATTTTTTTTTAAACTCAAACTTACGCGTTACTATGTTAATGTAGGAAAGTTTCCGATGTCGGTGACAAACACCTAAAATGTCATCCTACTTTGCCTTGATGTTGATTTTTCACCGATCAAATAGTTTATAGAAAGGTACATTCTCTGTAATATGGCTTCTGATGGATTCCCAGATATGTTAGGTTAACTTTTAACAATTTTGTTATTCATGCAGCAATGTCTAAGGATTCAATTATTACTATATCTGGGAAGCTAGGCTCCAATTCTCAACTTTCATCACAAAGCTCTGAAAATCACCAGCTGGCTCCTATTCAAAAGTTACTTTTTAAGGCTGTTGTTATGCCTATTGCTGACATCATTAAACTTGGATCTATATGCACTTTGTTGGTTTACAACTTCTGCTAATTTATTTACTTATTTGTCCACGTGATTCCTTTTGCCTCATAAACTATTGAAGTTTTCTACCGTATATGCAAATCACATTTTGTGCAACTGTTGCTGAAACAAAAATGTTGCGTATCCCTTTGGCTGGTATTATCGTGCCTGCCATGCTTGTTCATGCATGGCACACGGTGATAAACCTCCATTTGAGTGTGAGGCCAGTCATTTGACCGAGGAAGATATATTTAGGTGTTACTACTTCTCATTTGATATATGTTGTTGCATTGAAAGTTATACTCTTGTAGGTATATGTACGTAATCCTGTTTATTTTGACTGTTATTCCCGATATTGTAGGTATAAGATTGAGATTGAAGTTTGTCACACAGGGAAGAGTTGTAACTTTGTATTTTGTAATAGAGAATGCAAGCTACTTTTAGGTTTATCTTCTGCTCAGTTGCGTCATACAATGATCCAGGTTAGTGCTTTTTCAACAGAAAACATTTGCAGTTTTTATAAACAGTAATAGTCATTGTGTAACTTCCTTATATAGGATGGAATTCATGATCCATTGGAGTTCTCATTAGCACTCGATCAAATGTTGGATTTGGAGATAACTTTTAAGGTCAAGTGGCAGCCGCGTTGGAAGAACTGCTCAGTTGTTATGATCCTGAAAAATGACCCTTTCATCAAACAGCTCGGCGATCAATTGGAAACAATTGAGGTATAATACATATACCTTCCTTTTCTGTTTTAGATTGTTTCTTTATTTTCATCTACAAGCTTTCTACTGACGTACTTTAATTGCATCAAAAAGTCGCTGCTGGTATTTACCTCACTATACTATTTTGTTATGCCTAAGTTTTATTGGATTTGTTATGATGTTTATTTATGTTATATGTTACTAACACTTTTAATTATATTTTGATCAAGGAAAGTGTTAGATGACGCAAAATCAAGTGCCCCCAAAGAATCTGATTTGGTTACAGTAACCTTTATTTCCCTTCCGGTTTGTGCATAATTTAAATTGGTCCACATAATATATATCGGTTCAAGTAACTCGGAACATTTTTGAAGTTCATTATGTAACAGAATTTTGATATCACATCCAAGCACAACTCAGGTCCTATTACGCCTCCTGGAAAAAGACAGTTTCTAGATGCATCGAGTGAATCAACAAGCTCGGAAGGGTTTTGTGATGGAGAACTGTCATCAAACAAGCTCAAGAATATTATCAAAGTGGAGAAGAATGACTAGTGGTGGCTATAGTTTGCGATGTGTCTTCAGTAATGATGATGTTTACTTATTTCTTTGTAATTATAATTATAAATTATTGGTATATTACTGCTCGTATGAAACGAAAGGTATGAAACGAAAGGTACCGATCTGTTGTTATGGAGCTGCATATCCCTACAACAGAGTGAAGTCAGATTCAGGCCTTGCATTTCCCGACCATGTGCAGAGAACTCTCATCAACCAAGCTTTGGAAGATTTTATCGGCTTTTCAATGCATATATTAGCCTCAACATATGCACAAAATTCTCTTCAACAAGCTTGAGAAGATTGTCACATCTTAGAATACCCTTCGATTATTTGTATTTATACATTATTTCTATATGTTGAGAAGAATGTAATGATGCACTCTTTATTTTTCCTAATGGATTACATTTTGTAATACTTATGGTAATCAAAATTCAGATCATTGGTATTAACTATATAACTCTTTACAAATCATAGCCGTTCATGTTTGTATTCGTCTGAATCTGTCAAATATCATAGTTCTCTATGTACCATCGTTGCATGTGTTTAATAATAATAAGAACTAAATTATCCAATGGCTGTTGTGTTTTCACTGGGTTCTTTATATCACCTATACTATATGGAGATGAATTGAGTCTAATATAAGTTTTAAACAATACTAATATTAAGTGGGTACATTCTCCCTACAATAGCAAGCCTCCTCCATTCAAACCTCCATCCTCTGCCACCATAATGAAATAAAAGCCATTTGATGTCACTTTCCTATTCCTGCGTATCAAGACATCCTGATCCAATTAACCAATTTACCCCACACTTGTTTCAAATCTATGCAGGAAAAGTAAGAAAGTCGTCGAGTGTTTCATTTTCATGTTCATCTTGTATTTACCCTCATCCATCATATTATCCCACTGATTCTCCATATTTCCTACATTTTCATTTTGATTAATATACCTTTGAGAATACATAAATCACTTGGCCTTACAGTTATTTTCATCATTTCTTCATGGTTCAAATATTAATTATGAACCGTCTCACTTTCAAATTGTGAGTTTTAGCACACATTAATATTCAGTTATTAATACATTTAACAACTTTAAAGACCTCCCTTTCCACATAAATCAATAACATCCCTTCTTTTAGTATTCTGCTGCTGCTTGCATCATATTATAAATTTTTCCTTCATGCTACACCTCACCAATCAATTCAATCATTCGAGTCAACAATACAATTATGTAGTTTTAAGAGTATCCCACCTCTTGAATTCATAACTACCCACCTTTACCCCACTGTTTTTACTGCAGACTGATTTATTTTCAATCTTTCCTATTACATGGTCTGCTGTTTTACTCTTTATATATTCACATTTCTTCATAACAATGATGCAACACTTGGAAATGCAAATACCTTGCTCAGAACTTTCAGGCACGCTGTAAAAACCAATGGTAACGTGAGTCACACATCTACTTCTACTGCTCTAACCTACGGCCGACATATAGCGCCTGATATACCATCTGAACCACCATATTCACAAGATGTGGTGTCCAATTCCAAGGACGATTTGAATTTGGCTAACACTTCAGACTCTGATGAGGACACAGATCATGAACCATTAGTAGATTCTCATCTGCAAGGTATGTTCAATACGTCAGATTAAATTGTGAAATCATATAAATAATTTACATGTTAAATTACATTAACATATATTTCAGCTTATTTGAATGTTACAAATGGACAAACATTTGTTTAGCGTACATGATTGTTTCGTTACATACTGGAATGCAACTTGCATGATTCAAACACCAACATGTTGGAACCCCCTTTTTAACTTAATTCATACTTCACAATTTCTTAGATATGATTGGAAGCAACATAAGTGTTCACATACTTGTGCTTTTCATATAACAATTTTATCTCACAAAACAATTGGTTTAATTTAATTTAAATAAACTAATATTTAAGACAAGTAGGCACCCCATGTAATAAACATATTCACTTTCTATTTGTGTTATACCTTTGCAGAATATTTTGATATAGGAGACCAAAAATGTGAATGTCCATGTTGTCAAGCTTGTATGTGGTATTAGAAATGCGCTTACAAACTGAAAACACCAAATGTTCCAAAGTTTTGTCATTGCTGTCGGTGTGAGAAAATTGATTTACCCTTACTTGAGGAACCACCAAAACTGTTGCAACATCTTCTCTATTATAGAACATGTCCAGAGAGTAAAAATTACCATAATAACATTTGAACATACAACGCTATGTTTTCTTTCACTTCTCCTGGAATGAAATTCGACGCAACATACTCGAAAACAGGAGGCCCACCTACTTTGAGACTGCACAGTCAAACCTGTCATCGAATAGGTACCCTACTACCAGAAATTGGACATCATCCCCAATATGCTCAGTTATATATCTATGACATGGACAACGAAGTCGATAATAAAATGAAATGTTTCAGGTTTTTCTAACTACTTGCCAATACATAATTCGTTTCTCACTCTTGTCTCAATTTTTCACGTTTCGTGCAATCTGCAGGGAAAATAGAGTGATCCAAAGGGACATTGTTGACAAGTTGAAGATAATGTTAGATGAGTTCAATGTTCATGCAAAGGATTTTAGAATGGCAAGGGATATTTTTAAGGTTAATTCTTTCTTAGACTTGAAACTGAGACTTATTTGTGATAGACCCGAGGATGGACGTGTCTATAACAGACCTACAGTGTCAGAGGTTGCCGCCATAATTGTTGGAGATATTGATTCTGCTTCTAAAAAAGACATCATTATTCAACCATGCAATGGTGGTTTGCAATGAATAAATAAGTTTCATCCTGCATATTTGGCATATCAATACCCTCTTATATTTAAGTATGGAGAAGATATACTTCACAAGTATCACCAAGAAAAGAAGGTTACTAAGAAAAATCGTCAAAGCAACAAGGACTTGCTTTCCTACCAGTTACAACAACGCCACAACGAGGCAAAAACATTACTTCACTTAAGATGTCTATTTCAACAGTTCTTATTTGACGATTATGTAATGATGGAATCTGAACGACTTAATTGGTTGAGGAATAATCAATCAAAATTGAGAGTTGGAAAATATAATAAGTTGACAGATCAATGTGATGGTCAAGGGGCCAACCAACCACAGAAGAGAAGAAAATGTGTAGTGTTACCATCTACATTCGTTGGTAGTAAGAGATACACGGATCAACTATATTGTGATGGTATATGACCATTTCAAGTAGGTTGGGATTCCCTGATTTATTTGTTACATTTACTTGCAATCTAACTTGGCCAGAAATCATGCGTGCTTTGTCTGGCACTAGATTACAGCCGCACGATGATCCTGATATTATTACCAAAGTTTTCAAAATCAAGTTCGACGAACTCATGGATGACATTACAAAGCACCATGTTCTAGGCAAAGTCTTGGCATGTAAGTACTGTTATCCATATTACATTTCAATTTTCCAATGTCTTTTATTCCGACAACATTACACTTTAACTAAGTATTACCTTTATAGTTATGTACACCATTGAATTTCAAAAGCGAGGATTTCCCCATGCACACATTTTAATTTTCCTGCACCCTCAGAGCAAATATCAAACACCGACACACATAGATAACATGATTTGTGCTAAAATTCCTAATCCAAATGTTTACCCAAGTTTATAAAATTTAGTAAAGGCATACATTATGCATGGAACTTGTGGACTGTCACGAATAAACTCACTGTGTATAAAAATAGAAAATGCTCTAAATACTTCCCCAAAAAATTCATTGAACACACTCTTGTTGATGCTGAAGGTTATTCCCTTTACAGAAGAAGATCAAAATCTCACACTATTCAAAAAAATGGAATCACATTGGACAATCGACATGTTGTACCTTATAATACAAGTTTTATTTTGAAATACCATGCACATATGAACATGGAGTGGTGTAACCAAAGTATATCCATCAAATATCTTTTCAAATACATAAACAAAGGCTTTGATGGAATAACAACAGGAGTTTCAAGAAATGACAAAGAACCAATTAACGAAATCCAACAATATCTGGAATGCATGTATGTCTCCCCCTGTGAAGCGTGTTGGCGAATTTACTCTTACAATATTCATGGGAGAAAACATGTGGTGGAGCGTATGTTCTATCATTTAATAGGTGAGAGAGTTGTTTACTACATCAATCATGATCGAATGGAGAATATATTGGAAAGCAAGTGTCATTGAATCTATGTTTAATGCATGGTTGGTTGCAAATTCAAAATACGAAGAAGCCCGATCACTGACTTACGGTCAATTTGTCTCAAAGTTTGTCTACCATAAGAAACAAAAAGAGTGGAGGCCTCAGAAGAAGGGGTTCACCATTGATCATTTGATATGGGTTCCACCAATAACTGGGGAACTATTTTATCTACGGATGATGTTAACAGTAGTCAAGGGACCTATAACTTATGAGGAAATTCACAAAGGTGGTGACAACCAATGCGATACATTTAGGGATGCATGCTTTGCAATAGGATTTCTTGAGGACGATAAAGAATACATTGGTGCTATAAAGGAGGTGAGTCAATGGGCTTCAAATAATTTTCTTGGAAATTTTTTTGTGGTTATGCTTTTGTCGGTTGTTGTTAATCGACCGCACATGTTTGAAGAGAATCTTGGGTGCTATTATCCGATGGTGTCTTACATGCACAAAGATTATTGGATCTAAATCGAGGTTTATTTTTATCTCAGTGCCACATTTTTTTGCGCAACTCTTTTTTACATGCTAACTTACACATTTACAATATTAATATGTAAAATATTAAAACAATATAAGTTACCTCCTATATTGTTTATGAATTACTCATTACTTTCAACATGGTAACACACCATATGTATGTGTTTTTTAATTAACTCAGACTCTATTCTAACTACTTCCAAACTTTTTTTCTAACATCTATCATTTCAGAATTGCTTTTGACATAAGCCAAATTATAGAATTT